GTGCTCACTGTGATCGGACCCCGGCAGTTGAGGTCCAGCGGTGCTAACTGCGATCGAGCCCTGGCAGTTGAGGTCCAGCAGTGCTCACTGTGATCGGACCCTGGCCGTTGAGGTCCAGCAGTGCTCACTGCGATCAGACCCTGGCGGTTGAGGTCCAGCGGTGCTCACTGCGATCGGGCCCCGGCCGTTGAGGTCCAGCGGTGCTCACTGTGATCGGAGTCTGGGAGTTGAGTGCTCACTGCGATCGGACCCTGGCAGTTGAGGTCCAGCGGTGCTCACTGCGATCCGGAGCTTGGTGAAGAAGGTTTTCGATGACGATTGGCACAGAGGATGGAGGAGGAGGACGAGGAGGAAGAGGAGTACCCAGCGGAAGAGGAGGAGAAGGAGGATGAACTCTGATAAAATCTAACAACCCTCACTTGGCAAGTGGGGAAAAAAGATATGTATTGTATAATATTTGGCTTCTTTTTGTCCGATGTTGCTTTGAAGCTTTTGAAGGCCGCTGAAAGCGGTCTTGACTTCAAAGGTCGTCACAATTGACTCGGCCAAGCTGGATCGCCAGCGGAGTTTGGGGCGCTTTAACGCCCTAAACTCAGTGCACTCCACATCTGCCTGACCTGGGCGACCTCGCTCTTTTTACCTTTTTTCTAAAGCCCGCTCCCCCCTCCCTACTCAATGAAGTAGGCACCCACTTAATTAAGTAGGGGAGAGGTAGCTAGTACCCTAATTAAGAAGCTACTAGCATGGATGCAGGAGAAGCGCTCGCACTAATCATTTGGCTCCTACATTTAAAGGAAAACTTCACCACCTCAGGTGGTTTCAGTCGATCACCACGAGACCTTGCACGTTCTCGCAAGACGTTTGATAGCATCGAAGCTGGCACCTGAGTGAGTGCAACACTTTTTTTTTTGCGCTGGCTCTACATTTTTCATGCATTTTGCACATTCTTCCAATTTGTTTCGGGTTGGTTTCATCAAGCTTCATCACACTCCACGTCCACGTGGAACGTTTTGATTGAGTTCTTTTGATTGTTTTAATGAAGTCAACCAAGGCTCCAGCGAATCTTCCTTTCCTCACACGAAATTGCTCGAATCGTGGTTCGCATCTCTGACCTGGATCAGAAACATGAACGAATGTCACCACACTTTTTGGAAAACATCAAATGTCACCACACTTGTTCGTGGCTCAGGGCATAGTTTCCTCACGGGAGATCCTGATGGAGGCTGCAGCGACTAGCTTGTTCCCTTTGGAAGTCGCATTTTTCTGACCTAAGAGTCTAAGAGTCAGTCCATTTCTACTGACACTATTTTCCAAATGGACTTGAGGTTTTGGATCAGCTTTTGCAAAGTAGTACTCTCAGCCAGGATCTCAGACGGTTTGCAACTTGACTTTAGCCGCCGGAGTTTGCGCACATCAGGCTCACGCGTTGATGCCTTCGGCCCACCTGTCTTGCTTATGCCAGTGATACCAAAGATTGGATCATGGTTTCCTGCATCATGGCAGGGCAAGGACAAGGGAGTGAGATGCTCCTGATGGCCAGGGTGGCATGTCCCAAGTAGCAGAATACCTGTTGCGAAACAGGTTTGTTCCTGAAGTGCGTGGCACTGCTAAGAGCAGGCTGCACTTGTGCAAAGCGCAAGATACTTCGGGATGTGGTTTTAGTTCCAAGTTTCGTTTCAGTTTCTGAGATCCAGTTTCTGGTTCCATTTGAAAGTTCCAAACTCAAAAAATGACGAGCAAGAAACTCCTGATCGACAGTGCCGTGTCTGAATTTTTCAGAGGTCAGATCTGTGGCCTGCAGGACCTTCCAGTCTTTGACGGCATTGAAGCACCGACCGATGGTGCTGGCCTTGTCGTTTGGCCTTTCTACTGAGTTTTGCTTTGTAGAAGTAGTAGGATTTTGTTCCAGAAACCGCCTGTGCCTTGCCGTCGATGTGTGCATTTCTCAGGGGGTAGTTAGTAGCGCTGCACAAGACTTGACTGCAGTCGCAACAGATGCAGTTTCACTCACTGTCAGAATTTCTGGCAAGAAGCAACAAAGCCTTTTTGCGAAGCATCCAAAGCCTGCAATTATGCCAGTAATGACCCTGGTTATGTAGTATGACTGAAGCTGATGGCGCGTGCCTTGGTAGCTCAACCGCCGGCAAAGGCTCCTTGGGCACGATGCTTGCTTCGGCGAGATGGTCATGATGGTGACTTCCATGCAGAAGTGAAGACTGACTGGGCACCTGATGAGGCTGTCCGACAAAGCCGTGCGGGGATTTTTAATGCTATGAAGACGGCAGTGAAGGAGTCGCCTGGTGGTGCAACCTGGAATAACAATGGCAAAACTTGGTTGTTGAGGGGCGGGGTGACCGCCGCCGAAGGTCTGATTCAGAACCTCCGTGACTTGGGCTTTACCTTTGCTGATGGAGAGGTTGACAACTTCTTGCAGATAAAACGCAAGGAATGTCCCGTTCCTAGTGCACCTTTCGAGGATGCTTTCGCTGACGAGGACGCAGACTTGGACGAATGGCTCTCCAGTGGAGTTTTGGACTCCATCGAGGAAGGACTGCGAAAACAGGAGCAAGCAGTACCCGCGTCTGCCCCTGAAGTGCATGCAAGCAATTCGATGCGCAGTGGTTTGTCAGTTAGGATTTCGGGCGTTATGTCGCATCCACAGCTTAATGGATGCTTGGGCACGTTGGACGCTGTTGAGGAAAGCTCGGACGGAGGACCTAGATGGCTCGTTTCTGTCAAAGGACAGCAATACTCCTTACCTGAAGAGAAGCTTCGCCTTGAGCCTGTTCCAGAGGCCCTTGTGACAGATCCCCCTCCGAGCACAGATGAACTGCCGCACAGCCAAGAGAAGCCAGACCCGGCAACAGCGGCAACTGAGCCAACAAGCTCTAGAGCAGAACCTTCCGAGGCCGCATTTTTTGTTGGCATTGTTTCTCTTTATTTTCTCTTCAGCATTGAGTTTCAAGGCTTTGAGCTTTCTTTCTGTTCAGGCCCAGGAGCCCTTGGAGCGCAGAGATCAGAGGGAATGTGCCATTTGTGCTAAACTCAGCTCCTTCAGTGTCAATCTCAAAGTTTTTTGTCTCCTATAATCAGGCAAGAACCACTGAAGTAGATCCTGACTGGACACTTCTTGAAACAAATTTATGCCAAAGGCAAAACAAACATGTGATACTTAACCACGTTTTCGTTTGTGGGATACTTGTAGTTCCTGCGGCGTTTGGCTTCAGACAGCTATGGGATCCCAAGTCTCACAAGTCAACGATGAGTACTGCCGCGTCCAACATGTGTTGAAGCAAAACCTCCAACAAGCTCCGTCGCACACCGGCGTTCTGAATGCAACGATCCGATTGCGGGTCAGAGACTTGCCTTTGAGTTTAGGGCTGCGAAGAGATGTTTCTTCCTTGGTTCTTTTCTATTGCAGCCCTGCAGATGTTGGACGGCTTTCTGGTGCGAACCGGAGTGTCCATGAATTCTGTGAGACAGATGCTATTTGGGAAGGCATGCTGAAAGCAGATTTTTGGCAGACCCCAACAAGCCCAACTACAAAGCTGCATTCGCGGCTGCATCATGTCTCACAGCGGCATCTCAGCCTATTGAATCGTGATGTCCTGGGATTTGGAGCGCGAGACCCAAGTCAAAAATCATCCAGAAACAAGTTGATAAAACGGTGGCAAGGTGAAGTGATATTCAGAAGAAAGCAAGCCTTGAGAGCAAGAATGGAGATGTTGCAGATGGAGATGAACTCCAGAATTCAGGAGTGCCGTGAGAAGTGGACATATGTCATCAAACGACGGAGGTTTTTTGCTTGCGCACTTTGGGGCATGGGCCTGGCGGGTTTTCTGAAAGTCTCACGCAGTTTCATATCTTTGCACACGGTCCAGATGATAATTCTTGCAACTTACCGGCTATTCTACAGATTTGCTGATGTGTTGTTCCGCTTTTTCATTCCTGCAGCTCTGTGCGAACAAGTCCTTATGAAGAAGAGTTCAGGCTCGTCACGATTTCGGCAGATTCTGCTCTTAATTGCCAGCATTTTCTTGCAGCACCTGCCCATCGCCAGCTTGTGGTGGTGGCAAAGCCTCGTGGGTGTCTTTTCGGTTTGGCTTGCAGGCTGCAGTGTCATGGCTGTTGGTGGCATTGGTATAGTATTGATTGCCTCTTTTCTTGCAGGGGGAGCTTATTTTACTTTGAGCCGTGCCAGATATTTGGAGTTTTCAGCAGTAGAGCAGCGTGACCAGCAGGAAGCTTTCATCTACCATGAGTACCAGGCTGAGATTCGGAAATGCCGTATAGGGCTTGGTCTCCCACCGGATGAAAAAACAAGCAACTGCAATTGCCAGGTTCTTTGAAGCTCTCATCATTGACTGACCAGTCTTATGCTGTTCAGCTGCCACTCGTGGTGACGTCTTCATTGAAAAAGGCAGATGCGTCAAGCAGCTGATGCTCATTGCGGTCTTTTTGTGCAACAGCTTCCTTAAGTCTGGTGGCAGGACAAGTGTTGCACAACTTGGTTAGTCGCTTCAAACTAGCACCTTGCCACTTCCTAATGCCAGCCTTCGGTGTGGCCACAAATGGCACTAGGTTCTTAACCAAAGTTAGTTGTGCTTGCAAAATCCATTGTCTCCGTCTTGGATCGTATCTCTTTGTTCTGAAATTTGCTGTGCCAACTGAAGCCGTTTCTGTCGGAGGTTGACTGGCAAGCCTTTAAAAAAGGCCCCTCTTGAATGGATGAACTGGGTCGGCGGTCACGGCTGCTTCCCCGGACTGCACGAGTTCTTTTACCCCTCAAATTGCCAAGGGCTTGTGTCGTCCCCCGTGCGTGCAACATGGTTGTCAATTTAAACAAAGATACTACTGTCTTCCAGTCTTGATCACAGATTCTCTCAGAATGTGCCTAAGCTAGGCTTCGTGCATATAATTTTGATGGGTGTTGTTGAAAGGGCCAAAAGATGCCAAAAGTGCTGCAATGAGAGCCGTCAATGTTAACAAGGTGCTTTTGCCACAGCAAGAAACCACTTTACAACACAAGTGAGTCTTGAAAAACTGCGCCACAATTAGACCCTTCAGCAATGTAGCTGTCACAGCAGTTTACGAGAGCCAACCGGCAGGAAAGGCTGAAGTTCAATCGAAGTGAGTTATGGGGGTGTGGGGGGAGGTTGGGCCAAAGCAGTCCAAACTATATGGGGTCAAACGATGGCACACATGGTGTGTTTTTGTGTGACTGATGATGCTGGTGATGCAAATCATCGTTTGTGGATGGATGGATGGATGGATGGATGGATGGATTGGATTGGATTGGATTGGATTGGATTGGATTGGATTGGATTG